ATGCTGGCATTGCACAGCAAACACTTCTACCTAAAGATCAACTTAAGCATGAGACAAACTTGCAGCATCTGCAGGCAATGAATTCTTCTTGTGTATTCTCAAGGTTCCAGGCCTTTGATTACAGTTCAGAAGTCTCAGCGAAATGCTATTTGAGACAAAAAACCTCAAACCTGTGGCTGTCCTACAGATCTTCGCTCATTTTCACTACAGGCATTTCTTTTACCCTCGTGTTCATGTTTTTAGTGTCCATCAATTTATACAGCCCTGCTGTTGCCCAGTGGCCAGGAAGGAAAGAACCAAAACAAGGATGCATTTCTTTTCAGACAGCTCGTTTCTCGATGGTGGGGTACTCAGTCTGTTTCCTCTCATCTGTTGCAGTGCGTGGGACCAGAAAAGTTAAATTTCTTGGAGTACTTTCTCTTATTTAAGGGTTTAAAAATCCAGGGAAGTGTAAATCTTCGTAAATCCTGTAAAGCAGCTGTCACCAACGTTAAATATTTTACTTAATAGAAATACATTAACAAATGGATTGTGCAATGCGTAGAATTGAAACTCTCCATAGCAACTGAAGTTACATTTCTAGAAAGGTCATCGATTAAAAATGTACACAGGACATTCAGTTTGTGACAGATTAACACAGTTTGTGCCTTGAGGGTAAGAGCTCCTGGTGAAGTTAGCGCAAAATATTTTAGCAGTCTGCATTAAGAACAGACAAACTGTAAGAGCAGGTCTCAGTAATGGAACTGTAGTTACCTGGGCTAGCAGATGCTTAGTAAAGGTAGAAATACAAACTGATTTCCAAACATGTAATTGCTGCATATCCTTTCATTTTGTAGTTTGGTGATTGCTGGCTTTATGTACCTTTAGGGCTTGATCATGTAATAGTAAAAGTACTCCACTTGGTACCTGAGTTAGACTTCTGCTAAAACCAGAGAACGGGGCTGTTGGAGAATGCAGCTACTTGGAATGGAGCCTATCCCACCCAGAGCACGTGGACAGCTTCCCTTTGGCAATGCTAAAGGGATTGAGCTCGGTTTTTTGCAGTGGGCAGCAGACTGGTGGCAGTGGGTTTAATGCTGGTGGTTTAATGCTTCTGGGATTTAATCATGTTGCTATGGGTATTCTACTGTATCTAGACTTTTCCTTGGTTTTGCAAATAGTTTGTATTTGAATTACTAAAGCTATACTGATGTTATTTTAAAGTCCTGATGCAACCACATGTTTGCCTCCAGGAGTTCATAATGTGGCCTTAGTTGAGCAAGCCACACATACAAATCACCCGAATCAGAGCCCAAGTGGAGAATCTTTGGTAAATGTAGCTCACACCTATGAAGGGACTCACAGCAGCATGACTCCTTATATACAATCCTGCTTACAGGATGCCAAGTTCAAAATTAGTAGTGTAACTGTGAAGTACTGTTCCAGCTAAGAGCAGAGTAGCATTACTTTCTTGACAAGTGGGTTAGAAACAAATCAATCTGCTTTTATTACAGCTTTTGTCTTGCCAGTTTTGCTTTGCATTCGTAGCCGTGGCTTTTAAGCTGACTAACTTAAAGCAGTGTCCTTAGAAGAGTTTTAGCAAGCAGAAAATTCCCCAGATTTTGCTTAAAAATAGATCCTACAAGCGTGTTCGCTCAGATGGCTGCATGTGTATGTTTATGTAAGATGTGTCATGGGAGAAAGGGAAGTCTGTGTATTCCATCATGAAAGTCATCCCTTTGTGATTTGAGACTATTTCTGTTTTAGACACAAGTTCCCATAAGATTCCTGTTCGGACTCCTGAAGGAGCTGGAAAAACAATTTCCGTCCAGAAGTAATAATAGCACAGCCTTTTTGGTTTTGATCATAAACTGACATTTAAAAGTCATCCGAGGAAAGATATCTCTTAATTAAAGTCAGGTTTTGTTTAACGCAGTTGTAGCTGATCCTTCCCATCTGGCATCGCAGTACTTGGTGTGATACCTTTCAGTAGCCCCATGTCAAGGTTATGACATCCCACATGAGTTTTGGACTTTCCTATGGGACCTTTCAGTGGATTGGGCCATTCTGTTGCCCTGGTTATTGCTCAGCCTTTCCCTTGGGGAGACTTGGAAAAGTGGCCCAGCAGAGAAGATGAGGTGATGATCTGGTACCCCCAAAGTGTGTTTGGAATTATAGTTCTGCCAGGAGTGTTGTAGTTTTTGCATCCAGTGTGCTTTGGTGTTCCTTTACATGTCAGATCCACGTGTTTCTCATGGGGTACAGATATTACATTTTATGTGTGGAATAGAAAAGGTAGATTGTGTGACTGCCTTTCCTGGCTTGTTCCCTGTGTTTTCAGTGTTTTAAGATTGCTCACCTAATCCTGGTGTGGTAGTTTTGCTCCCTGTTACTGCTGTGTGGTCATAACAAGCAGTCATCCTTTGGTGAGACACGAGCCATGCATCCTCATGAGGCTCTGGGTCAAGCACAGCTTCATGCCACGGTTAGATTTCAGTTCTAGTGTGTTTTCTGCCTGGAGAGAGATGTAGCTATTTGTGTTCTGCCTTTGTATGTTTTGTGGATTGCTAAAATATGATCTTTCCTGCTAAGAAGCTGGATTTTATCCCAAATCCTGTGAATTTCATACAAGATCAGATTTTCATGGCATTAGGATTGATGGCTAAGACTGTGGCATTTACTGGCAGCACAGAATAACCACTTGCTGTGTGCAAAACTTGCCAACACACACTTCCAGGTACAAGGGAAATCACATCCTGAGATCTCCTTGGGATACCTCTGGCTTCTGTACACAGGAAGTACCACTCCCAGCTGGGGGTAAATGCATTGGTGAGGATGGAAGTCAGGAGTGTGTTTTAGAGTGATTTGAAAAGCTGAACTCTTATCTAGTTCTTCTGATCTATTTTCTCTTGTGATTCCCAAAGGTCTTAGATATGAGTGGGTGAAGATAAAACCTGACTCTGTGCTTAGCTATGGTATGCTTGGGATCTCTTGTAAACAAGGAACTTCAGAGTCGAGTTCACCAGATATGAGCTAATCCTTAAGTATTTGCAACCTGGAGGTAAAGAAATTGCTAGAATCTCTGAGACCGCTGATACTAAATGGAGAATATTAAAGACAAAGGTTAGTGAGAAGCAGAGTCTCAAAAACTTGTTGTATTTTCTGCTCAGAGGAGTGTAATTCCACAGGGAGCAGAGCTGAAAAAAGATGACTGCTCTGGTAGGCAAGTGACCCGAGACCTGCACATTTCTGTGCTGAAACTCCCGTGTGCTTCATTTCCCCCTCTGTGTCTTTGTTCCCAGGATAGTTCATGGTCTTTATCCCTGTGGTAAATACAGTGCTAGATCCTTTGTAGACATCAAAACTGGCAAATTCCATGTGGTTTATGTCATTTGGCATTCTGCTCCAGTCCCCTTCAGTTTGTCATAAATTCCTAAAATGGAGCAAGATCACATCTGGTAGCGATTTCAGTCAGCCAGATGAGGCGTAATCCTGCAGGAGCGAGCTCATTTTCTCCAGTGCTTTTCAAAGATGAGCTCTCCTGCTCCTATTCCATAAGGCACGCCACTTGCCCTGTGAGCTCTATGGAATGATACAGGCTCACAGACTTTTCACACTTTATAAAGGCAGATTTTGGAACATAGCTTTGTATCCAGTACATGAGGCAGCACAAGGGAGTAACAGCGCTGAAGCCTTCTGGGAACAGGCTGCATCTGGATGCTGTTTTCCTTCCCAATAGCATGTCCCTGCAGCTCCTCATGCTCCTGAGTAACCTGTCACCTTTCCTCCTGCACCACTTCTAAAGAATCCATCCACAGCTACTATTCTGCTTTTCTTTTAAATGCTTTTAAAATAGTTATAGCAGAAGTTGCAAGGCTTGGGTAATTCCAAGACTGTAAAATATTAGATGCGCTAATGAAGGAATGGAACTGCACATTGTAGAAACTGGAAATAGCTCTAAGTCCCACTAATATGGAAGTTTAAAAGTAGTTGTATATGTTTCATCATGTTCCCATTGTCCTGTTGTATTTTCGTGATAGTGGTTATGTTGCTATCTCATTGCCTTTATTACTTTATGCTTTCAAAGCTCTGTGTGGAGCTTGGTGGTCCAGTTTCTCAAAAGCAGCAAAACAGAGCATGGTAGTAAAGTTATGGATATCACAGAGCAGAGCCTAGTGCCATGGTGATGTATTATAATGTGCTATTGAAATCAAATTAACAGAACTGACGTAAAAACTAATCTCTCAAGGTTTCCAAGGTCGTGCACAAGGGCCTCTAAGTCTGTTTGTACAATGCTGGTTTTCTCTCTGAGGTGACCAAATTTAAGTATTTCCTGATACCCCAGGAGTGATGCTTCACAAAAAAACTGCCAAACCATTCAAACACCACGAAATAAACCAAACCCTATGCCAAAATTTCATATTTAAAAAATCATGGCAGTCAGGTGAAGTTCCTGACAACTGGGAAAAGGGAAATATAACCCCCGTTTTCAAGAAGGGGGGTTCAGCTTGGAGAAGAGAAGGCTGCGTGGAGACCTCATAGCAGCCTTCCAGTATGTGAAGGGGGCCTATAGGGATGCTGGGGAGGGACTCTTCATTAGGAACTGTAGTGACAGGACAAGGGGTAATGGGTTAAAACTGAAACAGGGGCAGTTTAGATTGGATATAAGGAGGAAATTCTTTCCTGTGAGGGTGCTGAGGCACTGGAATGGGTTGTCCAGGGAGGTTGTGAATGCTCCATCCCTGGCAGTGTTCAAGGCCAGGCTGGACGAGGCCTTGGGTGAGATGGTTTAGTGTGAGGTGTCCCTGCCCATGGCAGGGGGGTTGGAACTTGATGATCTTAAGGTCCTTTCCAACCCTAACTATTCTATGATTCTAATTTAAACTTGTTAGAGTAACCACACTACTACAGATGCAAGCTGGTAAGATGCATTGCAACTGGAAAGCACTCGCTATAAACCACCTTGTCTACAATTTTTGTGACCTAAATTATACCCTTTTCAACCTATTTATTCTCAGGAGAAATATCCTGACATCGTGACCCTTCCGGAAGGCCTCCTGGGAGATTACATACTGCTGAGGGACCCCAAAACTTCTGGGTGAGCCAATAAATCCATTTCTTGATTGTGAAACACATAAGGACAATCTGTTGGTCTGCTTGAACGATGGCACTCTGCTTTGTAATGCGTTTAAACACAAAGCCTAGATAGTGTGTGTTACAGTTTAGGGCTATAACCACACATTTAAAATGTGAAGAGATAAAAAAAACAATTAATTGTATGTAGAGGTCACATGCACGTGGCTTTGTTAGAAAAATCAATTGCATTGCTACTGCGTGTACCTGCTCTTAACAAGCTAGGTGGAAAAAACAGAGAACTTGAGGAGCCTTTTAATTTGCATTTAAAAACAAAATCCATTATTCTTTTAGTTTTAGAAGCTCATGCTACAGTGAAGAGTCTAAATTCCAAATTTAGGAATGCTGGATGCATCCCCTGTGTGATAGGGTGGCACTTTCCACCCTGGTGCCTGAGATGCTCCATCCTTGCATGCACAGGCACCATTGGAGCTGATCAGCTACAGCTCTGCTCTCTTCAGTGCAGCAATCACACCACACCCAGGCAGAGCATGGCTCTCTGGTCATCTTCTCTTACAGAATGGAAAGAAAACCACAGCCACTGTGTGACTGAGAGCAGCCAGAGTTGTGTTTTTCCATTGTTTTAGAAGGAAATCAGTTAGACAAGGGAGGGAGCACTGCACTCCCATTTATTGTTATTACTGTTAGCCCAAACAAATACAAATAAACCCTAGTGTTGGTAGTTACTGTCTGGTTTAGCCAGAGCTGCCATTTAAAACCAAGGCCTTTTAACTCTGGGCTGCTGAAATGAATCTTTCTGAGCCCAGCATAGCCAGAAAACTATTGTGGCTAGATGGTATTCTGCAGTTTCTGTTCATGTCACCAGGTGCCAAGTGCCAGTACACATACTCCCTCTCACCCACAATCCCCCCATTTCAGTGGGTTAGTAGAAATACACTTGCATATTAATTGGTTTGCAAAATCCCAGCACAAGCTGTGTATAAATTCCCAAAGAATTCTTCAGAATGAAGTGGCAAAAGGCCAGCAAATCCTAGTGAAAGGAAACTTCCACAGTCACAACTGGTCAGAAAGGGACCATCCTGCTTGCAATGACTTGCTACCATGCCAATCAACTGGGATCAGGAAAGCCTTACTTTCCATGAGGAATACTCCTAAAAGCAGGGATAGGAGGGAAATACAAAATATAGTAAAGCAGAGAATCTATTACAGCTGTTGTTTTAGAGTAACCCCTGTGTACGTGACAGTTTTCCCCTGCAAAATCCAATGACCTCGTCCTGCTGCAAAAGCTGGAACTAATATTTCGCCTCGCAAAAATCACCACCAAGACCCTTGAGGGAGTGATGAGGGTGAAGAGTGTTTACAAAATTAAAAGCAAACCAATGCAGGACTCTAGGCCTTAAGACAGATTTACCCCTGTGTGTTCTTCTGAAGAGGCCATGAATAGTGGAGTGGATCTTATTTTGAAACCCAGAACGCCCCTGTTTATGCAAATGCTTCATCTGAAGTTATTTTTCTCTATTTTCATCCCATATCCAAGTGTGACCCCTGAGCCCAGGGTGCATAGCACAGAGGGATGCCATTTTTCCTTTATCTTACTATCACTGCTGTGGAAACTTACCATTCCTAAGGGATGACATGAACCATGGGAAAAATCTTTGAGGTTGAGAATTGGAGCATGCCTGGAACTGTTCCTCAGCAGTAGATCACTGGTTTTCCTTGGTTTCAGTACACATATGTTTGGTTCTGAATGCAGAACCAGAGATCAGGGGGTTGCATTCCTTGGGGTGAATTTTGTGTAAGAGCACACTGAGTGGAACCTTCAAGTACAGCACTTCCTGCTTTGAAGAAACCTCAGACAGGTGCTGAGTTAACCCTTAACCAGCTTTTCTATGCCTATGCTACAGGTTTGAATTAATGATTGTTTGGAAGATACACATCGATGAGGAAGGGAGACCTACACCTGTCCTGGACCTTCTGACTAAAGTACCAAAGCAAGGTAACATCAGTTGCTTCAGAGCCTGTTTCTGAGCTTCCTGAGGGAATGCCTGTCCCCTTTTCTTCCCAGCATCTCTTCAGGGCACATGGAAATCCCTCTTGTGGAGCCCAGCCAGGCAAGCAGCTAAGCTTCAGCTCCTGTGTCACTTCACTGAACAGGGCTCACACAACCTAACAAGCTTGTCCTCCTCTTCTAGACAGCAGGGAGCCTGCTTTGGCTGCCAGTAACAGTGCAGCTGTTTGGAAATCTGTTTGTGGTTGTGTTCTTCTTGCAGTCCTGGACCAGAACATGGCAAGGATTGAGAATGCGCCCGCCTGCTTCCGGAGCATGCTGCTTCTGGTTGGGATAGAGGAAGCAATTGAGAACCTGGTCACCGTATTTGGCTCGGAAAGATGAATACAGCCTTATTTACAATAGGTAGCAATTTCAAAAGTAGTTTTAATTCAGATATTGTGTTACACAGTCTATAATTTCATTGAATATAAACATTAAGTTATTTTCCATTTAGAAACCATACTCATAAAACATGCTATCTGTACAATTATGGCACGTTATATATAAATTGTCATGACAGGAAAATAAATACAGCCATTTAAATACAAAAATGCCAAATAAAATAGTTACATGTACAGAGTGAATTCATTATAAATTTATCTTTCTGAATCATTAATGTACCAGAGTGGTTTTATCTTCTTAACATTTTCTAGATACCTGGAAAGTGTTAAAAGATCATGCACTGTCAAAAATCAAGTCCATAAAAATCCATTTCATTTCACAGCTCTGTAGAAGTACAGTGATTTTAAAAGGACAAGAGAACAGTAAGAGACTCCTGGAACAAAGAGTTAAATAGTTTTCTCATTAAATTAGGATGGAAGTAGACAATTTGAAGATTTCAACGACATCCTATGCTAAAAACAAAAAAGGAAAAAAAATGGTAACTGTATGAAGTAGCTTTTTCCACACAGCAAGTGTTGAGGAGAGATAGCATTAACCTAGAAAGAGCCATTACACTTCTGTGAGGAGAGATGGACGAGTTAAGGACTGCTCACTGCACTACTTCCTTTTGATTTCCTACCTCCAGGGGGAAATCCTAGTTACGAATGCATCACATTTCATACATTCATCCCTGAAGAAACCAGAGTGGACAGATCTCCCTTCACTTCCACCAGATGTACTGTTAGCTCACCAGCAACCTCTCAGCATTTCTCAGGAGTTCCTGCTCTGCACTAGACGTTCATCACAACCAACTGCTTTGTCCAGACCAAGCCTACATGACTGTAAGTCACATACTTCTCCCGTAAGGAATGACAGCTGCTCCTGGAATCAAGGGGCCAAAGCCACAAACCAGAATCTCGATAACATCATGGGACTTCCTCTTCAAATCCACAACTGCTCTAACCATATCAGCAGCAGTCTGCCAGCTCCATTTATCAGTTATGAAAATATATGTTACAGCAATGATGAAATAGGTGGAGAAACCAAGAGCTAAAGAAACAGTATGTTTATAATACTGAAATTGTAATAACCTGCTATTTGATCACTCAGTCTCCTACTGTTCTGGTAGGTGAGGAGAAACTGGCAGGCTGGATTGGTTTCTGTCAGACTCTACAGTTGAGCAATGCCAGGGATTAAGGTTCAATGAGCAGCAATCTGTAACAGAATACCTTGTTAGGTATCAGGCAGACTAATTTCAAGTTTGGAATCTAGTAGACAGGCACAATGCAGTGCTCTTTATCCACTGACATATTACTGGTTTAGCTGGTTTTGTGTAACCCTTAGTGTATTTCATCTTTAGCTCTTTCTTCCATGAAAATGAAACCTGCTAACAGCACATGCTCTTTACTTGCATAAAAAAGGTGTGTGAAGTTACAGCATAAAACCCTGAAAAGTTTCCTTCCCTCCTCCTCTAACAAACAGTTGGAGGATTTCTGGATTTTAAAGTAGCCTCTCTTCCCCCCAGGTCTCCTTTGGAAAGAAGGGGCTGTTACCACTGTCACCTACCAGCTTATTGCCCTGTTGCAGTGTCACATTTCAGCGAGGCACCCCACTAACATGTGTTGCCGCCTGCAGAAAAGCTCTGCAGTGGTATGACTCTGCAGCTCAAACCTTTGAGTTGTATGGGGTTTTCTCATTTTGCTTTTTGAGTCTCAAGTAAAACTGAACCATTCAGCCAAAAAGCCCAATATAAATATATTTTCTAAATGCTAACCTACCTTATTGTGAAAAACATGACCAGGAAGCACACGCTGCGCTCAGGTAATGGCAGGTCACTGCAGCTTGAACAGCATCTCTGCATACTTCTAGGTGTGCAATCCACAAGCATGCAGGGAAAGTGCCTGTAGATTTTACCATACTACCTTCTGTTTTGGACACATCCTCAGTTTCCAATTCGGGATCTTCCTTGAGGATGGTTTTTACTGCAACCTCTCACAAGGCTTCTGCTGCACATACTAACATTTACAAAGCAAAGCCATCATTAGATTGCTGATGTAGTGAGACAAGCTTAGCTCCAGTACTCGCATGAGAAAGTGACCCCTTGGCAGCTTCAGAAAAGAAAGCCAGGTTTTTTTCATTACTTAAAACAAATGAGCCTGAAAGTGGCTGCTCACACTACACAGCATGTGTGATATCAGTGATATAATGCCACCATCTGACACAACCTAAAAGTTCTGCCATAACTTGTAAAATACATTATTCTTACAGTTCATCTTAAATTAGGTTAGAGCGAGCTGTGGTTTCACCTTCAATAGCAGCATATAATGTATAGAAAATACAAGACCAGCATGCCAGAGGCATTGAGCCCAGCTGTCATGTACAATGCAAAGACACTTGCCTTTAACACCCTTTTCACTTTGTTTCAGAAGCTTTAGGTAGATGCAAGGTGAGCACAGAGCTGCTGGAGGCAGGCTGGTGTTCTTAATCTCATGTGTTAGCACTGAAAAGTGTTCAGCAGCAACACAGTAGTTCCACAGGTCAGTAATGCTGGAGAGCCACCTCAGCTGTTTTCTGCTAAATGCTGTATTTAATGTTGTTACATTTATTAATTCAATACATCTGTATTTAATGCTAAAATGTTGTGTTAGGTTTTGTCACTCTTCTACCAGGTATGAGTGAGGCTCAGAGCACAAGCTCCAAAGCAATTCTCCTGTTAGTAATTAGGCTTACTATGTTAGTGCAATACTTCAGGAAACCTTTCATTCTGTGCTCTTTCAATTCTAAGAAGGAATTCAACTTTTAGTATTAATCTCATCTGTCCTCTAGTTCCAAGGTATGGCACGTTATCTGTTCTGTCATATTAAATACATTCATTGAGGTTATGGAGCAAACGTGCGTTTTAGTGCTATTCTGTGTCTTTGAAAGGCATACCAATTAGAAATCGGTTCTGAAAGCAAAAACATTCACAGCTGAAAGATGCACTGAACACAATAGGGAAAAAACCACCATAACTGTATTCCATTAATCTTTCACTTTCTAATGTGTTTGAATAAAAATAACCTTAAGGAAATGGTTACACTTTATGGAGAACTAATGTGCAGTCTTCATTCTCCTTGAAGAGAGTGGACATCACTGGGTCATCTTTGGCCTGTACATTCTTCAAATAATAGTTAACTATCTCGCTGTCCAGTTTGTACTGGTGGGGAATGCTTTCGTACGGTTTTAGGTCGAGGTCCAGCACAGAAACAGAAAAGGTGAATCTCGATTTGGATGTGAGTACCACAGGTCTCTGCTCAGAGCTGGAAAACAAGGAAAAGAAATTCAGCTAATGTAGACTTTAGGAAACCATAGCTCCAGCTTAGCCAGCCATAAAGTGAACATGCCGACACTTCTCCCAGCATTTTCCTTTCAGCCTCCACACAGCTTAATTCAAAACATAACTCTCAATTACTGTGTCTGTGTGTAGTAAACCTAACCTGGTCTAGGTGGTATGAATTCAAAGCAACATCCTGAATAGTCAGCAAAAGCAGAAACAATCACTGCAGCTCCTACTCAGGTTCAAGGTAATACAAATTCAGTATTAGAACTAATGCTCAGGCATATACTCAAGGATGGAGGACTTAGGTCAACCACTACACAAATCATCTCCATAATGAATGTTTTATTCAAGAACTGCAAGGCAAATGCAGAAAACAATATTCTCCAGAAATAGCAAGGCTTTGATGAAACAAAATCTCCTACAGAAAAGCAGACCAGTACTGGTGATGTAAGTCAAGATGGACACCACCATGGCAGAGCCTCCTGCCTTACAGTGAGTCACCTCTATTATTGCCTGTTATTCTAATTAGGCAGTTACTGGCAGCTTGTCTTGAAAAACCTCTCATACAAGGACACCAAGGCAGAATTGTATGTGCCTACTTAAAAACATGTATATCTACTTTGAACAGACAAGTCAAATTTTAGGATGGGAGTAAAATATAAAACCTTTATCTTCTGTATCAACTTAAAACTTCAGAAACAGCCATTTGCCCTAACTATCTTCAATCAGAACTCTGATAGCTGACAGCCAAATATCTGGATGCTGCCCCCATCCCCAGAATCCAAATCCCCACTTTTTAAAGTTATTTGACTGAACTATGCAAATGCATCTTCAATTTCTGAATCAGGGGGAGTCACTTGGAAGCAGGCACCTCTTACCATTCATCTTGCAGGGAGGGTGAAAGGGCAATCATGAGGGAGCAGTCTTTAGCAGTCATTGCTATTCTGTACTGCTGCACCTGCACAACATAAAAATCACACAGATTTTCTCTTACACTTTACCTGCCTTTAGCAAAGCATGCTGTTCTTTATGGAAGGCATTAGCATACCCAGTAGGTTGGTACTTTAAAAGCTGGAAATTATCTCTGTAACAGATGGTTAACAGAAGGAGCTGATTTTACAGCATCCTGTATAAGAATCCTGGTTATTTCCTACACATAGGTACTTTAATTGAAGGCCAAAACAGCACCAGCTCATGCAAATGCCTCTTCAAACCAGAAAGGCAACCACCAGCTTATTTTTTCTCCCTAGAACTGGTCCTAAACATGTTTGGTTTTAACTCCTTCCACAATACAGATGCACCCTGGCACAGTTAAGAATTTTTGACCATGCAGCCCTCTGGCGAGCCAGCAGCAATGCTGACACGCTGTTCATCCCTTCCAGTGAGACAGGAGTGCATTAACAGACTAAATAAGCTTCAACACCACACACAGGGAACGTACCTTTGTTAACGCAAATGCTACTGTCCCGTCATCTTCAGTTGAAAGATCTAGCAGCTTCTCATAAAACGCTTCATTGTAAGGTCCATCTATCTGTAATGTACTTCTAAATAAATTTTTAAAAGATTTACAGAGAGCCAAGATGATTTACAGGTTTTCAAGCACATCTTTCCTCAGCAGCCCAGAAACTCCAGTTAGAACAAACGTAGCAACAGGTTAATACTCAGAGACCTAACGCTATGACCAGGCCCTGTTAGTCTCATATCACTCAAGACTTGCTGCTTCTTAGGACTTGAGCTGTTTGGTTTAGGTATTTTTAAAGATGGAACACTGTTAATCCACTGCCAGCTGTTTATCACTACAAAAATGAGTGAGTTTTAAACATTTAACAGAGCCTTGCTGAGCATACTGACTCCTCTGACAAGGCCCTGCTCTGCCCGTGCTTCATAGTGTGTGCTCACAAGGGGGTGGTCT